TTTTTTTTGTGAAAGAAAGATATGAACTAGGAAATATTTTAAGTTGAATGAATACTAAATACTACTAAAAATCATTTTTTTCCTAATGAATTTTTAAATAGAAATATTGTATGTTTAAAGAATTGTTGAAGACACTGTATAACTATACAGTATTTCTGCGCTATATCCCAGCTAGAACTAGATCGGCATATCAGTCAGCACTTTAAAGGCTTTCTAAAACTCAGGCTTTTATACTCTTGTATTTAGTTTTTTATTGCTTAATTGTTAAACACCCTGAAATTATGTTTCAGGAACTCTGCAGTATAAAATAAACATTATTGCTATTAGATTGTTAGCCATTATAATTTAATAGCTACAGGTGGTATGCACACTAGTAAAAACATTTAGTGCCTAATTTTTACGTTGTTATTCATTTTACAGTTCTGCTTCGCATATAAAGGATATCTAATGAATTACATTGGGATTCAGTTTTCCTACCAAAACAATATAAATGTAGTAATTTCCACTTCATCCAATATTGACACCATCTTTGTCTCAGGACCTGGGTAAGTAATCACATACTGTATGTCCATCCTGAATGTGGAAGTTTAAACTTCGGAAGCACATTTTTCTTTATTGTGTACTTGTGTGCTATAGGAGTTTTTAGACATAGTGTGAGATATGAACCCATGTATTTCATACTGTGTTTTGACACAGCTATAGTGAAGATAACAAAATAAAACAGTTAATATCCTACATTCCTTCTGCAAACAGTGTCCGGAAAACAATTGTGATCTCTAAAAATGTGGCCTAAACTAGGAGTTACCTAAACTAACTCTCACCATTTCTGTTGCTATAGACAGCGCTGTCTGTCTTGAGTCTTAGATTTTCAATAATATTACTTTAATGTAGCAGCTGCACAAAGATCTGTAGTCACTGCTGCGGAATATAGTATTGGTAAAAAATGGACAAAATACGGTAATAGGTAGATCTCTTAAATTAAAACTACTATTATTATTATTATTATTATTATTATTATTGTTGTTGTTGTTGTTGTTGTTGTTATCATCATCATCATCATCATCATCAGAATTTCATGATTGTAATGTTGTTTAAGTTAACTTAATAGCACTTTTAACTTTTCAAGATTTTATTGACGTATCATTTAAATGAAATTTGTTTTTTCTTTGACAATTCATAGCTGGCAGTACACGTGTGTTGATTTGCTTTCTGCCTTGCAAAGAGCATTCCCTGGGACTAACTATATGCTACAGTCACTGCTACTGTACAAGGCAACACCAAACCAAGATTTCTATGTGGATGTCGTTTACATTGGAAGAATGGCCACAACAGTAAACATTAATGGTATATTTTTAAAATAATTATTAACTGAACTCGCACTTTGTCTAACCAAACTGAACTCTCTTTTGACTTTGTACTTTGTCTGTATCTTTGGAGGTACAATGAAATAAGGACCTGTACATCTGAAAGACAGAAGTATCAATTAACCTCAGTAAAAAATGACAACATCCATAACATCGTCAGTCTTTCCAGAAGGACCATTAACCCCTGTCACAGGGTTTGTGATTGTTTTCTGGTGACTTTAAATCACCAGCACCTGTGTCAAGTTTTAAATTGGTGAAATTTACTAAAACTTCCTGACCTTTTTTTCTCTCGAGTTAAGCTACTGGACTGTATTCTTCAAGCACTGCAGTTACCACGCCCCTTTAAAACGGAGCCTTCAGAATATTCACCAGTTCAGAATCTGACAGAAAAATCTGTCAAAATGTAACAGTCTTGACTATATAGCTGGGAAACGAAAAATTGTAATTGTGCATGAATTTTAAGACATTTCATTTAAATACACGCAATGAAATCGTAATGTGTTAATGCGATACTATACAATACGTCTAATTATTAAGAGAATCCTTGTTTGGATCGTTTATTTTAAACAGATGTTATTACACTGAGAAGACCCCCAGCCTTGGCAAGCAGAGGTGTTTTTGTACAGGAAATCATGGTGAACAAAATCCAGAAACCAGACGCTTCACAGTGGAGATATGAAGTTACAGTGACCCCTTACAGCTGCGGATATGACTTTCCTCTCATGCGTATTGCATTTGCACAGGTGGGTGTGTAGTAGAGATAATATCCCGTATACAAACTATTGCATGGGAAAACAACAAATTGACACCAGAACTAATATTTTACTAGCAATTGACTGAAAAATGTTGAAAAAGAAAAGGCTAAGGAAATCGAATTAAAAGAGCCTGTTGAAAAAGGATCAAGCCAGGTGACGCAAGTAAAGCCATTCTGAAATGTTTTGGTCCTTAACAGGCGGTTTCAAACAGCAGTGACGAAGGAGTCATGTACGGAGGCCCCAGCTGGACAGAAGGGGTAGGCATCCAGGTGACAAGAACGCAGAGGGCCAGCCCTCCAGTGTCGGGCACCTTTGATGTGGAGTTCTCCGGGAAGCAGATTAAAGGTAAATAAATCCCAGTAGCCTGCTTTCAAGGCAGACAAATGTGATGCTAGCACTTACCTTGCGAGGTACCTGTTTTTCAGGCAGTGTGTCCAGCAATGCAGTGTATTCCAACAATTTAACACACCAAAATATTCCTGAAATCCTTCGCACATATCAGCAGTGTGTGTTTTCCTGGTCAGTACTTGGATAAAAGGCCTCTAGGGAAAACCTGCGTACTGCTGTATGTGGCGTCGGTGGATCAGTAGCTGGTACTCTTCCCCCGGACCACTATTTTTACACCGATACCCCAGTATAGCGATATCATGTTGTAGCAAATCTTGCGAACCCACTTGATTCCCCATTGATGAATCTGGTGTGGCAGTTTCCCCACGTTTGCAGCCGATCTGCCCTGTAGTGAGGCTTCTGGTGCTTTAAGCTTGCCATGTACAGTATCCAATGTACAATGCATCTGATACAAGCATAATTGCAAGCAATTATACTGATAAAAATCAATCATATGGCTAAAAGAGTGTTGCTCTTTCCAGTGATACGTGGGGCACTGGGATATCTGGACACAGGACGAAGATTATTCAAAGCACACAGCACCTAAACACATTGCTTTACTGTATTAAGCTATTTCACAGAAGTGAAGTAAGAAGTGTTGACAACCAAAGGCTACCAAATGTCAGTTGGCGCAACTTCTTGACTCTCTCTCTGACTCTCTCTCTAAATGCAAATACGCAGCTAATCTGCCCAAACACAAAATTCAATGTTTTTTTTTCCCCCCGAAATAGCACAAAACTGTCTTTTTGGACCTTCTCTCCCCTTTACTGTTTCTGCTGCCTCACATTACCCTTTCCCTGGTGTTGGTTGTCCCCCTGAAGTTGTTTCTCTCTTGTCTTTCTTCTCTTTTTAGCTGCCACACTTCTGTCAGACCTCCTTCAGTTCCTCGGGGTGTGGTTTTTCTGGGGGTCCTGTAGATCACAGCACACACCTGTGTTTCTCTTCCTTTTTCACCCTATTCTCCTGACCTCCAGCCCTTGTTGCAGTAGGAGCTGCTTAGGGAGAAGTGGTGGAATGTCATTTTCTGTCATCTCTCCTATCTTCTCCTTTTGCGTCAAGAGGTAATGCCACATCTGACTGCATCTCTACCCCTTAGGATACCGCAGTACTAATTAAACTCCTGCGAAAGACAATACCCACTAATATTTCAATTCAATTCAAGCTTTCTTGTCTCAAAGGGGGAAATTTGTTTGGCAGCCAAGTCCAACACAACAATCCAACAAAAAAAGCATCATCAACAAAGAGTTCAGGACAAGAAATATTTAAATATGTTTTTATTTAAATAAAAGATCTAGAAATAAAGAATGGGGGATAAATATTGAGTCCGTTTCTATTATATATGAATATTTGGGACGTATGGTTTAGTCATCTGTAGTGCTTATGTTAATTACTTATTTATTATTGTATGGACTCAATTATTTAGAAATTAGGATCAGGCAACTGGAAAATGAAGTACAATGCATGTTTTCTCTTAAACCACGCCAGGCCTGCCAGTGGACGTGTCAGAGTCGGACCTGCAGTATGCGTTGCAGGGCATTCCAGAGATGGGGCAAATCCGTGTCAGCCGATGGGGAGACTGCCGAGGATATGGATGGAGAGTGGTCTGGGTCTCCAACCCCGGTGACCAGCCACTCATTCAGGTTCATACTCTTTTCTGACTCCTGTTGACTCCTGGTGACTCTTTGTCTATGCTGTACAGGCACAAGCATTAGGGCTCTACAGGCACGAGCGTTAGGGCTGTACAGGCACGAGCATTAGGGCTCTACAGGCACCAGGGTTAGGGCTCTACAGGCACCAGGGTTAGGGCTGTACAGGCACCAGGGTTAGGGCTGTACAGGCACGAGTGTTAGGGCTCTACAGGCACCAG